AAAATAATATATTTAATTTATAAAATATATTATTTTATTTTTAATAAAATATTTAAGTTTTAACAATAATATTCTTACAGAATCTAGAAGAAAAGGACTAAGGGAGGGTTGTGTCAAGAGTGTTGGTATTTAGTCTTGTAAATGACTATTATTAGCGGGATGAGCACATGACTATAATAGTGCTACAAGGTTCTAAACCTTTTGGATTAGATAGACAAGTCTTATGTGTGTCATACATTCATGTCTAATATAAGAAGTTATGGTTTAATTCTTGGACACTAATAACTTCATTAGATATGACGTATATACACTAATAGAAGGTTTAAATCGAGAGACACCTTCTTTAAGCATATTTCTTGTCGAGTAGAACTAAATTAACATTTTCAAACTAGTGGGGGAATGTTGAGTAGTTTGCAAATGTTAAGGTCCCACATCAAGAAAATATGAGAAGTTAAAGGAATTTATAAAGGTTTATTTGTTATCAACAAACAGATAAATAAAGTGAAGCCCAAGATAAATTGGGCCTTGACTTCCAAAATATTTATTTTTTATTTTCGGATTTTTAATTTATTAAATTTTAATCTGAAAAAACATGTCTGAAAATTGAATAACCTTTGAAAGTCTAAAGATACCTCTATGAAATAGTGTCTTTCTGGATAGATACATCCCTATAAGTAGTGACTTTTCAATCAATATAAATTTTTATACAAAGTCAAAGTTCTACATTTATTTTTTTTGAGAGAATTTGAGTTCTGTTGTATCTTGAAGGATTTCTGAATCTTTAAAAAGAGTAAGATCACACCTCAAAACTATTTGTTTTTCATTATGATAATCCTTATCTTTAACATAGAGTCCGGCCAAGGCTCCCGCCTCATATGGATACAAAGGTTTCGTGGGCAGAGGCTGTAAGTCCGGATGAGCTTGATGAAGAATTCGACACCTTTCCAACTTCTAAACCCCATGACACAGCTGCAATTATACCAATATTTGTGGTGGGTTTGGCCTTGCATTTTGCACACAGCTGTGAAAACGAAAGGAGGGGAGAAAGTTCTTCTTTTTTCCATTTTTCCTCCTTTGTTCTAACATCCTTTTGACCGTTCTTAGTCAGGAAGAAGAATAAATTTTCAACTTAAGGAAACTTTTACTAGGCTAAAACGCGGTTTCATGGCTCTGCAGGAAACTAAGGAAGGGGATTATTATATATAATTAAATAAATATAATTATAGATAAAATGTTTTATATATAATTTTTTATTAAAAATATTG